GGGTGTCTTTGCATTCAAGTGTGAGAATGCCTAAAGGCAGAGGTGAAATCATTGAGTCAAGATCTGTGCTAGTTCCAAAATGACCCCCAAGGACGTCAAACCAATGAATGTACATAAGGAAAGGTTTCCTCACTTCTGTAAATGTGAAAATGTTAGTTGCTCAGCTATGGCTGACTCTCTGCGACCTCATGGACTGTAGTCCACCAGGCTCCTCTGTTCATGGAATTCTCTAGGCAAGAATACTGGAGTGGGTCGCCATTCCTTTCTTCAAGCGATCTTTCCAACGCAGGAATCAAACCCCGGTCTCTTCATTGCAGGCAGATACCTTACTGTCTGAGCCGCCGGGGAAGCCCCCCTCACTTCTATAAATTAACTGCTTATAATGAGAAGGGAACGGCTGCCCAGGATTCTGGGCAGTACACTCCAGTGTTCTTGCCTGGAGAATTCCATGGACAGAGGAGCCTGGAGTGCTGTAATCCATGGGGTTGCAAAGAGTCTGACATGACTGAGCAATTAACACTTTCACTTTTTAAGCACTCTAAGAGATGAAAAAGGATGATTTTCATGTATAGTTGTTGGGAAGATGCTGGGGATCCTTCTCTGATAGACCATGTGGGTTTCTGCCTTTTTGTAGCCTTTGCCTGCCCTACTGGATTATGAATCTTGTTAACGGCGTGCAGAATTCTGTGTAAGGGAATTAACCTTTTGTTTTGTTTTGTGCTTGGCAGATGTTGATTTTGTTTTGGGTAAGTTTTGCCTTGCGAAGGGCTGTATTTATTTATCTATTTATCTATGGCTGCCCTGAGCCTTCATTGTGGCACACGGCTCTTCATTGCTGCAAGCCAGCTTCCTCTAGTTGCAGCAAGCAGGGCCTTCTCTCATTATAGAACATGGGCTCTAGAGCATGCAGGCTTCAGTAGTTGCAGCTCCCAGGCTAAATAACTGGGGCACATGGGCTTAAATGCCCCATGGCATGTGGGTTCTTAGTTCCTATCAGGCATTGAACCCGTATCCCCTGCATTGGCAAGTGGACTCTTAACCCCTGCCGCCAGTTGTTGTTCAGTTGCTAAGTCGTGTCTGACTCTTTGTGACCCCATGAACTGCAGCACTCCAGGCTTCCCTGTCCTCCACTATTTCCTGGAGTTTGCTCCTATTCGTGTCTGTTGAGTCAGTGATGCTGTGTAACTGTTTCACCCTCTGCCCTCCCCTTCTCCTCATTCCCTCAATCTTTCCCAGCATCACGGTCTTTTCCAACGAGTCAGCTCTTTGTATCGGGTGGCCAAAGAATTGGAGCTTCAGCATCAGTCTTTCCAGTGAATATTGTGGGTTGATTTCTTTTAGGATTTAGGACTGGTTTGATCTCCTTGCTGTCCGAGGGACTCTCAAGAGTCTCCCCCAGCACCACAATTTGAAAACATCAATTTATTGGCACTTAGCCTTCTTTATGGTCCAGCTCTTACATTAGTACAGGACTACTGGAAAAACCATAGTTTTGACTATATAAACCTTTGTTAGCAAAGTGATATCTCTGCTTTTCAATACACTGTCTAGGTTTGTCATAGCTTTTCTTCCAAGGAGCAAGTGTCTTTTAATTTCATGGTGGCAGTCACCATCTGCAGTGGTTTTGGAGCCCGAAAATAAAACCTGTCATTCCTTCCACTTTTTCTCCTTCTATTTGCCTTGGAGTGATGTGACTAGATGCCACAATCTTAGTTTTTTTAATGTTGAGTGTTAAGCCAGCTTTTTAGCTCTCTTTCACCCTCATCAAGAGGCTCTTTAATTCTTCTTCCCGGTTGTTGGTATTTCTCCCCGCAATCTTGATTCCAGCTTGTGCTTCACCCAGCCTGGCGTTTCGCATGATATGCTCTGTGTATAAGTTAAATAAGAGGGTGAGAGCATACAGCCTAGTCATACTCCTTTCCCAATTTGAAACCAGTCAGTTGTTCAATATCCAGTTCTAACTGTTGCTTCTTGACCCACATACAGGTTTCTCAAGACAGGTAAGGTGGTCCGGTATTCCCATCTCTTTTAAGAGTTTCACACAGTTTGTTGTGATACATGCAGTTAAAGGCTGTAATGTAGTCAGTGAAGTAGAAATAGATGGTTTTCTGAAATGCCCTGCTTTTTCTGTGATCCGATGGATGTTGCCAATTTAATCTTTGGTTCCTCTGCCTTTTTACAACCCAGCTTATACATCTGAAATTTCTCTGTTCACGTACTGCTGAAGCCTTGCTTGAAGGATTTTGAACCATTACCTTGCTAGCATGTGAAATAAGTGTGATTGTATGGTAATTTGAACATTATTTTGCATTGTCCTTCTTTGAGATTGGAATGAAAACTGACCTTTTCCCATCCTGTGGCCACTTCTGAGTTTTCCAAATTTGCTGACATATTGAGTGTAGCGCTTTAACAGCATCATCTTTCGGGATTTGTAATAGCTCAGCTGGCTCCACTAGCTTTGTTTGTGGTAATGCTTCCTAAGGCCCAATTTACTTCGAATTCCAGGATGTCTGGTTCTAGGTGCGTGATCACACCATAGTGGTTATCTGGGTCATTAAGACTTTTTTTGTATAGTTCTGTGTATTCTTGCCACCTCTTCTTAATCTCTTCTGCCTCTGTTAGGTCTTTACCATTTCTATCTTCTATTGTGCCCATCCTTGCATGAAGTGTTTCCTTAATATCTCCAGTATTCTTGAAGAGATCTCTAGTCTTTCCCATTCTGTTGTTATCTTCTGTTCTTTGAAGGAGGCCGCCTTCTCTCTCCTTGCTATTCTCTGGAAATCTGCATTCAGTTGGGTGTATCTTTCCCTTTCTCCTCTCTTCTCTCCTCATCTCTTTGTAAAGCCTCCCTGACAACCACTTTGCTTTCTTGCATTTCTTTTTCTTTGGGATGGTTTTGGTCACTGCTTCCTGTACAGTGTTACAAACCTCCATAGTTCTTCAGGCACTCTGTCTACCAGATCTAATTCCTTGAATCTATTCATCACCTTCACCATATAATCATAGGGGATTTGATTTAGGTCATACCTGAATGGTCTAGTGGTTTCTCCTACTTTCTTCAGTTTAAGCCTGAATTTAGCAATAAGGAGTTCATGATCTTAGCCACAGTCAGCTCCCGGTCTTGCTTTTGCTGACTTTATAGAGCTTCTCAATCTTTGGCTGCAAGGAATATAATCAGTCTGATTTCTGTGACCATTGGGTGAGGTCCATGTGTAGAGGCATCTCTTGTGTTGTTGGAAAAGAATGTTTACTATGACCAGTGCGTTCTCTTGACAGAACTTTTAGTCTTTACCCTGCTTCATTTTGTACTCCCAAGGCCAAACTTGCCTGTTACTCCAGGTATCTCTTGACTTCCTAGTTCTACATTCCAATCCCCTATGATGAAAAGGGCATCTCTTTTCGGTGTTAGTTCTAGAAGGACTTGTAGGTCTTTGTAGAACAGGTCAACTTTGGCTTCTTTGGCATCAGTGGTTGGGGCATAGACTTAGTTTGCTGTGATGTTGAATGGTTTGCCTTGAAAACAAACTGAGATCATTCTGTCCTTTTTGAGATTGCACCCAAGTACTGCATTTTAGACTCTTGTTGACTGTGAGAGCTACTCCATTTCTTCTAAGGGATCCTTGCCCACAGTAGTAGATATAATGATCATCTGAATTAAATTCACCCATTCCTGTCCATTTTAGTTCACTGATTCCTAAGGTGTCGATGTTCACTTGTAACACCTACTGTCTGACCACTTCCATTTTACCTTGATTCATGGACCTAACATTCCTGGCTCCTATGCAGTATTGTTCTTTACAGCATCAGACTTTACTTTCATCACCAGACAAATCCGCAACTGAGCATCGTTTCCACTTTGGCCCAGAGGCTTCCTTCCTTCTGGAGCTATTAGGAATTGTCCTCCGCTCTTCCCCAGTAGCATAATGGACACCTTCCCATCTGGGGGGCTCATCTTCTGGTGTTACATTTTTTTGCCTTTTCATACTGTTGATAGGCTTCATGTGACAAGAATACTGGAGTGGTTTACCATTCCCTCCTCCAGTGGACCACGTTTTGTCAGAACTCTTCTCTGTGACCCGTCTGTCTTGGGTGGCCCTGAATAGCATAGCTTGAGTTATGCAAGCTCCTTCACCACCACAAGGCTGTGATGGCAGACCACCAGGGAAATCCTGCAAAAGTTTTAATTAATCAAATTGGTCTATGTTTTAAACCTTCTGAGTTCAGTGATTTATCCACTCCTAGATTGTAAGAGTATTCCCCATGATTGTTCTTATGGTTCCTTTTATTTTAAATATTGGTATAAAAACATAAGGACTTCCCTGATAGCTCAGTTGGTAAAGAATCCACTTGCAATGCAGGAGACCCCGGTTCGATTCCTGGGTCAGGAAGATCCCCTGGAGAAGGGATAGGCCACCCACTCCAGCATTCTTGGGCTTCCCTTGTGGCTCAGCTGGTAAAGAATCTGCCTGCAATGCGGGAGACCTGGGTTCGATCCCTGAGTTGGGACAATCCCCTGGAGAAGGGAAAGGCTACCCCTTCCAGTATTCTGGCCTGGAGAATTCCATGGACTGTATAGTCCATGGGTTTGCAAAGAGTCGGACATGACTGACTAACTTTCATGACAACGATAAAAACATAAAGTGCTCACCTGGAGATATACAGATTCTCAGATGAGTACACTGTGTAACTGTCACACCAAGCAAGACCAAGGACATTTCATTTTTGTATTTACACTTCTGCTTTGGTGAGTTTTAGGTTAATATGCAGTGTGAAGTAAGGATATAGGTTTCTTTTCCTTAAATGACAAATCAGGGGTCCCAACACCTACATTCAGACAGCACGTTAATGGACTCCTGTGACCTGCTTTTCCTCACTCCACCTTTTTGGAGGGCTGAGTCCTCTCAGAATCTAATGAGAGTTCTGGACTTCTCTTTAGAAGAATACACAGGTACCTAAAGTTTTAGGTTAGAAACTCACGGGTTTAATTTCTTGTGTTGCAGGAAATTCGTGTTTTTCAACGTACCTCAGATCCAGTACAAGAACCCCTGGGTGCAGGTCATGCTGTTTAAGAACATGACGCCGACCCCCTTCCTGCGGTTCTATCTGGGTAAGTGTCCCTGCTCTCTGGCGCGGGTTGGAAGAGAATTGCCTGACACGAGCATTTCAGAAGGGAGTGAGTTTATTAAGAGCAAAGAGCAGAGATAATGGAGACGCTGCAAACACAGCGGGCCAACACCTCCTGAGAGACCAGGGAGAGCCCACGCTTTTCGGGGGTCAGTAGCCAGTTTTTACCATCTGAAGAGGAAGTTCCTGCTAGAAGGGTGGCGTTGGGTGATTGTTTAGGGCCCTCGAGGGTGAGCACTGGAGTAGGCGTTTCTGCCGAACTTGGGGTCAAGAAGCCTGCTTGGTGCCGACCGGGGGCTTTTGGGAACGGTTACAGTGGGTCTCAGTCAGTTCCGGAGGTGACCTTGGTTCTGGGCTCCGCAGTGAGCACGGAGCCCTCTGCTGTTCCCCCGCGTTCCTCCTGTGCGGCTGTCAGTGGGGCCTGAGGGGGGCACTGCAAACCTTGGCTTCTGCACCTGGTGCCCAGCGGCCACCAAGATCTCTCCACCCGCCCCCCCGCCTTAACCCTCCGCCAGACTCACTCCTGTCGCCCCACATCTCCTGCAGGCCTCACATCATACGGGCCAGTCTTGGCAAATTCCCTTGCTGCACTGCGCTCTGACGCCTCTGCTCAGTCAGACCCTCTGCTGGAAATCCCCTTGCTACTTTTCTTTGCTAAATTAAAAAGTAAATCCTTTGAGACTCAGCTTGGGCACCAGCTCCCCCAGGAAGCCTTCCCTGCACCTTAGACGATAACTGGTGTGTCCTTCAGCACTGGCCACGTTCTCTTGAACTGTGTGTGTGTGTCACCTTTCTGGATCATACGTACTTTCGCAATGCTCTCCTGTCCTCTCGAGGAACAAATGTGAAGACTCCATTAGATTGGGCTCAGTCCCTGGAAGTCAGACCCAGTGTTTTAGCCCGGCTCTCATCAATCATTCTGATCAAGTATTGTTCCCAGTTCCGTATTTCTAGGGGAAGGCAAAATATCTGCCTTACACGGTTACGAGAATCAAATGAAGTGTAGATTGGGAAATGCATCAGGAAACAAATCGATGATGTTCTTTCATTCACTCAACAAATATGCATCAGGTTCCTGCTAGGACCCACGGACTCTTCTGAGTGCTTGGGGTGTCAGGGAGCCATAAGGACAAAGACCTCCAGTCGTGTAGAGATGATATTCCAGCAGGAGATAGAATGAACAGGAAACTCAATAACATGGTTTGTTAGAAGATGAGTGCAGTGGGAAAAAAGAAAGAGCAAGGTGGAACTGAGGAGCATGGTGGTGGTTTGGCAATTCTGTGTTTGTATTTGTGTGGTTGTTTTAAAAAAACTAACTTTATTGAGGGATAATTTACCGATAATGCACAGGTCTTTTGTGCACGGAGGAATGAGCTCTGATAGATGTGAAGGACCTATGTCACTGCTCCCCAGTGAAGACAAAACATCTCTCCTACTCCAGGAAGTCCCCCAGGACTGCTTTCCAGTCAGTTCCCACTCCCAGCAGAGGCAGCCACTATGAGCAGTTCTTCCTTTTTTGTGTGTGTATGTGGCCGAACTGCATGGCCTGTGGGATCTAAGTTCCCCGACCAGGGGTCAAACCCTGGCCCTCAGCAGGGAAAGCACTGAAGCCTAACCACCGGACCACCAGGGGATTCCCACTGTCGGCAGTTCTTTCACCATAGACTGATTATTTGTGTATTCATTTTTGGCTGCACTGAGGCTTCACTGCCTTGCACGGGCTTTTCTCGAGTTGAGGTGATCGGGAGACTTCTCGTCGCAGGGCCCGGGCTCCAGGCGTGTGGGCTCAGTAGTGTGGCACCCAGGGGCTTAGTTGTTCTGAGGAAGGTGTGGGCTCTTCCCAGACCAGGGATTGAACTATGTCCCTGGCACTGGCAGGCGGGTTCGCATCCACTGCACCGCCAGGGACATCCGAGACTACCTAGTTTTATTTGTTTCGGGACTTAATACATGAGCCTCACAGTATATATTCTTTTGTGTCTGGTTTTCGCTCATGGTGTTGAGTCACCCACGTTGTGCGTATCCGTAGCTCGCTCATTTTTACTGCTGAGCAGTGTGATGAACATTTGGGTTTTTGATAGATGCCCAGACAGTTACAGGTGTGAGACCTATGGAGGGCGGGGCGGCGGGCAGGGAAAGTCTTCAGATGGTAAGGCAGGTCTGCCATCTCTGGAAGGAGGACTGGACAGGAGTTACCCCAGATGGAGGTGCAGTGCTGGGAACTGGGGGGCTGGCCAGCGGGCAGCTCTGCAGAAGCAGCAGGTCCTGGACCAAGGCCTGGGGGTGCCGGGCTTGGCTCTGCTGCCGGGGCGTGGGGTGTCCTCACTCGAGGGGGCTGCGAGCGGCCGTCTCTGTGGACCTTGGTGCTCAGTTCCCCTGGGCACGGGCTCGGGCTGGCGTGTCCACAGAGTAGACACACAACGTCCTTAGAAGCCACCAGGCAGGCCTCCAAGGTGACCCTGCCGTTCGGCCTGCAGTGCGCAGGGTGGGGGTCCTGCTGGCCCCCCAGCCTCAGCCCGGCCGCTCCCGTTACTGTCTGCATTTCCTGTCGCTGCTCTTAACATCACCACGGGCTTGGGGCCTTAATGCAACAGAGAGTCCATTACCTGAGGGTTTTGTAGGTCTCAAGTCCAGCAGGGTGTAAGCTCAGGCTGTCAGCAGAGCCTTCGCTCCTGGAGGCCCTGGGCTGAAGCATGCCCAGGCCTCGTCCAGCCTGTCGAGGCCGTGCCACCCTTGGCCCCGGGCCTCCCTCCATCCTTGGGCGCTGCCTCCCCATCCCGTGTGCCTCTGACCACAGCGTGGGAGGTTCTCCAGCTTTAAGGACCGTGGAAAATGGAGGCGCCAGGTTGTCTGGGAGACTCTCCCCATTTCTGGGTCCTTGAGTTTAATCACATCTGCAGAGGCCCCTTGGCCACATCAGCGGTCATACTCGCAGGTTCTAGTGGACAAAGAGGGGGTCCATCTATGGGAGCCATCTCTTGTCACTTAAGGGTTTTCAATGTTAGCCATTCCAGCGGAGGTATGTCTCCTTGACATCTTGATTTGCATTTCCCTGTGAGAGTCTTTCCATGGGCTATTGGCCATTCATTTCTTTTCTGAACAGTCTACTTGGATCTTTTGTCTGTTTAAAAATTTTAAAAGGTGAGGGCTCTTTTCTTGTTGAGTTGGTGGTATAGTCTGGATTCAATCCCTTCGTCAGATAGATGTGTTGTGAATATTCCTGTCTGTGGTGGGCTTTTCTCAAAGGTATCTTTTGAAGAGCAGAAGCTTGCATTTTGATGAATTTCAGCTTCTCAGCTGTTTTCTTTTGTCTAGTACTTTTTTGTGTGCCGGCAAAGAAATCTCTCTTCCCCAAAGGTGCAAAGATTTTTCTCCTGTGTTTCCTTTAAAACTGGGCGAGTCTCTAATTTTATATTCAGGTCTGTGATCTAGTTATTTGTGTGTTAAGTGAGATAAGGATTGAGGTTCAGTTTTGTTTTTTTTAGATTTGGGATATTCAGCTATTGTAGCACCGTTTGTTGAAAGACAGTCACTTCCCTTATGAAATTTCTTTGACGTCTCTGTCAAAAAAAAATATTGATCGTGAGTGGATAAACAAAATGCATATATTCACTCAGTGGGATATTGTTCAGTCACGAAAAGGACTGAAGTACCGACATATGCTTCAACATGGATGGACCTTGTAAACAAGCCAGCAGAAAGAAGGCAGACGCAGAAGGCGTGTGTGAGTCCATCTATGTGAGGTGAAGGGAGCAAAGCCGCGGGACAGGAAGTGGTTGTCCGGGGCTGGGGCGCTGTGGGGAGGAGGAAGGGACAGCTTCACGGGTACCGGGGTCTGTTTGGGGTCACAGGAAAGTGCTGGAACCTCGGTTACGGTGATGTTGCACAACATAGTGAGTGTGCTAAAACCCACCATATTTTGCACCATAAGATGGTTAAATGGGGGAGTTCCCTGACTGTCCAGCGGTTAGGACCCGATGCTGTCACAGCCAAAGGCATGGGTTCAGTCCGTTTGGGGAGCTAAGATCTTAAAAGACACAAGGCCAAAACCAAATAAAACTGAAGTATAGTATAGTTGATGTTAGTATAAGTCACAGGTGTACAAAACAGTGAATCACAATTTTAAAGGTTATATGCAATTTATAAAATACTGGCTGTATTCCCCACGCTGTACATCTGTGTAGATGGTTTTCATACGTAACACTTTGTACCTCATGTGCCCTGCCCCTTACTGCCCCTCTCTCCCTCCCGCTCCCTTCTGGTGACCACTAGTTTGTTCTCTCTGTGAGTCGTCTTTTTTGTTATACTTATTGGTCTGTTGTACTTTTCAGATGCCACAAATAAGTGATAACACACAGTATTTGTCTTTCTCTGTCTGACTTACTTCACTTACATCGTTGTTCATTTGCTAAGTCGTGTCCGTTTTTTTGTGACCCCATGAACTGCAGCATGCCAGGCTTCCCTGTCCTTCACTGTCTCCCAGAGTTTGCTGGGAGTTTGCTCCCCCATTTAACTCATGTCTCTAGAGTCAGTGATGCCATCTAAGCATCTCATCCTTTGCTACCCCCTTCTCCTCTTGCCCTCTATCTTTCCCAGCATCAGGGTCTTTTACAATGAGTCAACTCTTCGCATGAGGTGGCCGAAGTATTGGAGTTTCAGCTTCAGCATCAGTCCTTCCAATGAATATTCAGGACTGATCTCCTTTCGGATGGACTGGTTGGATCTCCTTGCAGTCCAAGGGACTCTCAAGAGTCTTCTCCAACACCACAGTTTGAAATCATCAGTTCTTCGATGCTCAGTCTTCTTTATGGTCCAACTCTCACATCCATACATGACTACCGGAAAAACCATAGCTTTGACTAGATGGACCTTTTTTGGCAAAGTAATGTCTCTGCTTTTTAATATGCTGTCTAGGTGTGTCAGCTTTCCTTCCAAGGAACAAGCGTCTTTTAATTTCAGGGCTGCAGTCATCATCCACAGTGA